TTTTTTCTGAATTTTTATTACAAATTTTGTTTTTGTTTTTCTTTTTGAGTTTTTATTATTATGGGATTTGAATATTAATAGGTTTATGTAATTTCAACACAAAAAGGTTATAACATTGTATTACTTTCTGGGGAGAAAGTGTGACTTTTTGAGGAATTTTGAGGTGGTATACACATACACATAATCTGGAAGGAGAACACAGATCTCCAGTGAAGAGCTGAACAGTTCTCCGCTGATCTCCTGAGTGTCATAAACTGTAAATGACCAGAGAATACTGAATCTCAGCTATTCCCTGTGTCATAAATGGACACTATGGTCCTTTAACTAGCACAGAGTTTGGCTTTAGGATTCCATGGCATATGAAATAAGTTATCTTTTTTTAGCCTATTAGCCAATTAATCACTGCTGTTCCTTAAATGAAAAATTTACTTAAGCTAGATTGATGTTCCACACCAGGACATATTGGTTTTTTGAAGCTGAGTCATATGAACATTAATTCCTATGCACACATTGTTACATTCACTTGTAGGAATAGCACCTTCTGTCTTTTGTTTTATTCACTGGGAACAGACTTGACTTGTGTCTACAGACTAAGAATGTTTATTTATTGTATTTGCTTCAAGGAACAAAGTTCTTTCTGATATTCATGTGTGCAGGTCAAATCTGAAATTCTCTCAATAAAATCAGCAATAAATATTGATTTACAGTCCAAGTCTTTTAGCGTCTAAATGTGCAAATGTCCTAAAAACCATGAATATGATAATTTTCTTCTTTAATATTCTTCCTCCAAAATGTGAGAATGCTTCTTATTCCAATAAACCTCAAAAGAAAAATGATATATTCGCACATAGTGCGTTATTCCCAACATGTGATATGTTTCACGAAATGCACTTCCAAACTCGTGACATATCATGCAAAAATTCCACCTTGTGAACTTGTGACCACTTCTAAATAACTGTCATCCTCCTTACTCTTACCCTATGTAAACTTGGAAAAAGCTTTAATCAATTCCACTTTTAAATCCCTCCATGATTTCACTTCTCAATCCGTCCTCCTCAGTGTAGGAGATGCACCTCAAAAAAAATCTAATATAGTGTAATATCCTTAAAGCAATTTATACACTCTTGTGCTCCCCTCACGTCTCCACAAATCAGCAGTATATGTGAACACATAAACCGCCACCTCATATATCATGCACCTTACCAGATGGTAAGAATCAACCAGCATTGAATAGATATAGGTTCCTCTCATCCCAGAATATATATGATCTCCGATGGCATAAACAAAATTCTTGTATCTCAGCACGTATTCATTCATAAAACAAGCATGGTGTGTAAAACCTTCGCCAAAATGGCCGCTCCGCAACTCCGGTTTATGTCCGTCGCTATGGCCTGATGCGTTTCATCATTCCAACTTCATCAAAGGTCTTTGGAGAAGGTTTTACACACCATGCTTGTTTTATGAATGAATACGTGCTGAGATACAAGAACTTTGTTTATGCCATCGGAGATCATATATATTCTGGGATGAGAGGAACCTATATCTATTCAATGCTGGTTGATTCTTACCGTCTGGTAAGGTGCATGATATATTAGTTGGAGGAGGTGGTTTATGTTCCAAACAAATGGAAGTGAGGAGCTACTGAGGTGGTTCTGGAACTCACATAGGACATTACAAGAAGGCAGGAAAACCCAGTATAAAACATTTTGTGAAAAAAAGATTACAAGGCCATTAGGAAGTGGATGTGTGTGGATTATTTTTGGAAGATAAGGATATCATTTAGTGTCATTACAAATTACTATAAGATCCTTTAACTCTGACAGGCTTCTGAGACCTGGACATACTCAAACCCATGGCTCTGCACCAGACCTGCTCTTTTCATCCCACACAGATAATCCAGGTGCTGGGTACCACAGTCGACTCCACTTTCAGTCAAAAGTAGAAAAAATATAAGCTTCACTCCAGAACTTAACTCTTCTTTCTGTGTTTACTTTGTGAAAAAAAAACTGCACACACTAATGTCTCCCTTCAAAACCAACCTTCCTTACTTTTTTTAACAAATAAAACACAGAAAGAAGAGCTACTGTAAGTTCTGGAGTGTGGCTTATGCTTCTGCAATCTGCTACCAATTAACAGAAGGGAACAGGTTAAACATCTTCACCCTAGCCAGCGGTACTTACCTCCTAACAGACATCAGAATGAGCATTAACCTACTGAGTTTCTACAACAGGCCTGACTACATTTAGAAGGGGTTGGCTGAGCAGGAAATGTCTCTTGGCAAGGACCCAAGATGGGGTATTGCATTCACCAGGGCTGGTAACTCCCTGGAGGAGGCTACAGACACTGGCGTACCAATATGATTGACAGGTTTCCAAGCTGCCAGGCATTCACCTCAGTCTACCTGCCAATTAATTAACTGGAAGTGCCTTAAGTCACAATAAAGGCCAAGGGAAGGAGCTAATTCTGTCAAAGAGGAGAAAACCAGGAGGAGACATGGGTTTTCCTCTATCCTACTCCTCCCCCTGGGAGAAGGAGATTTCTAATTGCAGCTAAAGGCCTGGACTGGAGATAACGGAGTGTGGAGTCGGACAGGACCAATATTATTGTTCCTACATTTTATTGACTATGTAATTTCACTAATGCCTTATGTTGCCTGTGTATTGGCACAATTACCCACTGGGGACAAACAAGCCACCTTCTGATAGCTTTTGGTGGGTGAAAGGTACTTCTTATGGGGAAAGCCAGGGAATGACAGCTCTGAAACCAGAAGTGACAAACTCCTTGTCGCTTCCAGTTTCATTCAATGCAGAGAAGATGGAGGGATGGATGTTTCTCCATCTCCTCTCTGGGAAGCCATCCCAACTTCCTGGGCTCCCTGGAGGAACGGAAAAACATACTAAACACTGTGGGCAGTGGCAGGAGGGATCCTTCCCAGTGCTGTAAAAGTGATCTGCATTTATAGAACAGCCACCATGATCCCGCAATGAATCACTTGCCATCAAGAAGTTTATATATGTAAGTCAGATGGGAAGTAGTTAGAATGCAGCAGCTACGAATGTGTTTAATTTAAAAAAAACAACTTTCAAAGTTGAACTACAGCTTACCTTCAATTATGAACTGGCTTATCTCCCGTACTGAAATTGCTTACCCTGGTTTCAATGACACTGTGATGCTGAAGGCATCATCTAACTCTTTTCTCCCCAGCTTTACTGTCCCTGGCCCACCCTTTTTTCATCAATTGGATTTCAGTTCTTTCAATTATGGAGGTTCAGCATCACATGTGGGTGTTACCTAGGACAGTCTGCATAAAAATGCAAACTGCCTAGTAATGTCCCCTCCCCCGGACTGACACCCACCTATCAAGACATTTTGATATTTTCATATCTCCTCCCTATTGCCAGCCCACTGCTCGCATCAGGCAGGGTGATGTAATATTTTCTGGTAGCTATGTACTCTATCATTTTTTAGTAACAGGTAGCTATAGCACAATGCTGTACATTCTATTCAATAAATCTCTTTCTATTTCTGATCATTTGTAAAGTGGATCACAGCTTTTCTCTCTCCGCTAATTGACAGTAACACTTCCACTTATCATTATAAAAATGAGAAACAGTGAGTGAAAACGGTTATTACTACTTTTGAATTGCAGCATTCTCATTTAGATATACTGCATTTATAGTAAAATTACAATAATCCATATCATTAGAATGACCATTTTTACTGAAATTTGTGAATGAAATATAATAGGCTTTTGATAAGGTGAAAAAAGGTGCTCTCTAATTTCCCACTGAGTGCCTTTAATTTTTATTTTGTGAATAGTAGAAAAGAGAACTCTGAACCCGCACAGAGTTCAAGTTCTAAATCGTTTTATTAGTGAAACAAAATTAATTTAGGGAATTACAAAAAATCCCTCCTTCTTTTTGGTTGTATGTTGTTAAGTAGGATGAAGACTCATTTAAGTTAACAAGACATCCCCTATGAAGGAGGAATTCTTTGTAATCCTATAAAAACTTGTTGGGTTAATTTGTTAATTTGAGTAATAAAAAGAGTTTGAACTTGGACTTTTATATTGGCTGGTGTGTTCCTTTCTGCACATCAAATTCTCCTGCCTCAAGAGCCATCTTTGGAATGTTTATGGGTTCAGAGGAGCTTTGCCAAGTGTTTCTGTACAAGTAACAGTTCCTAGGAAAACAATTAAGCCAGGATCTATCACAAACTAGATTCAATGGATCCAGTTACAACATTACTGATATCAGCTTGACAACTTCAGGGAAAACCTGGGGTGCTGTGACTTCTCTCCCCTGTCAACTACTGCACACTGCTTTGTATGGCTCTGCATAGCAGAGCCATACAAAGCAGTGTGCTTACAATGAAACACACACACAGCCCCCATAGTGAAACAGCACACAGTTAACCCGTTGATCTCCCCAGATGTTAACCCCTTCCTGCAGTGTCATTAGTACAGTGTCAGTGCTTTTTATTAGCATTGATCACTGTATTGGTGTCACTGGGAATGTCAGTGACACCAAGTCAGTTCCTTCCAGTGTCATAATGCCTGCCACAGTCCTGCTATAAGTCGCTGATCGCCACCACTACTAGTAAAAAAATAAAAAAAGTAAAAAATATATATATATATACAGCCATCTGTAAATGCTATAACTTTCACATAAACCAATTTTGTTTTAGCAAAGACATGTAGCAGAATACATTTTGGCCTAAATTTATGACGAAATTAGATTTTTAAAATTTTTTTACTGGTTATGTTTAATAGCAAAACGTCAAAAATATAGTTTTTTTTCTCAAAACTATTGGTCTTTTTTTTGTCTATAGCATAAAAAATAAACGCGGAAGCGATCAAATACCACCAAAAGAAATCTCTATTTGTAGGAAAAAAGGACGTAAATTTAATTTGGGTGCAGAGTTGCATGACCGCTCAATTGTCAGTTAAAGTAATGCAGCTCCATATCGCAAAAAATGGCCTGGTCAGGAAGGGGGGGGGGGGTAAATCCTCAGGAGGGCAAGTGGTTAAAAGCAAGTTCCAGTATACAGATTTATTGGTGAACAGGGGCAGACTGACAACTCATGGGGCCCCCAGGCAATAGGGGATCATGGGGCCCCTGTGTCCTTGCCCAAACTCAAAAAAGCCTATGAAAAAGGTAGCAGGGGCATCTCATGGGGCCCCCTTTTGACCCCGGGCCCTCGGGCACTGCCCGAGTTTCCAAATGGTCAGTCCGCCCCTGTTGGTGAACAAAATAGTTTATAACCATGATTATTTAAAAATCCATCTCATCATTCCATGCAACCTAAATGGGTGTCTGCCTATGAAACAGTTCATCTAACAAGTTTTCAAGAGCAAGGTTCACTTATTCAAGAATGCATGTGCAGATGATAAATTTTATCTTATAAAGAAACAGAAATGAACTTCATGAATATTTACACATTTTTTTCTTGAACCATAATTTTGTGCAAGGTCTTCCAGAGACAATAGATCAATATAGCAATATATCTTACACAGCTCACCAAAAGGCTTTTTATCAACAGCATGAAAATAGAACCCACAACCTTTCTTAAAAACATCCAAAAACACTTGATCCAATATTCTGGAGTGCGACCTCTTAGACCATCAGTCATCTGCAAGAAAGGGTGGAGAAAGATAGAAAAAAGAATCCAATAGACTCATTCCCAGGTGGGAAGAAAGCTTGAGCTTGGTTTTGGTCCAAACTTGTGTTTGGACCAAACCTGGCAGAAAACTGTTACCCCCACCCACTGCCCCCTAATCAACTGCAGCTATGGCTTTCCCCTGCCCAGCAGCTATATGTACTCAGTAGTGTATTTAGGTTTTGTGCTGCCCTAGGTGACACACAAATCTTCTGCCCACACAGACACCAACCAACATCACCTCCCCTTCCCCCTCCCGTGGAGAGTACCTGACAATGCTGACACTGACCAACAAAACCCTTGCCCCCCACCCGGGAGAGCCTTCCATTACCCCCTCCTCCCTCTTGGCGATAGAGAAAAAGACACTCATCTTCACAGCTCCCCAGGAACGAGAGTCAGGCTCTACATACACCATCAAGGAGCCCATAGCCTCTCTCGGATCCAACTGGTTCCCATGGCAAAGCGTGTCCCTTCTTTCATCCCTTCTTCTAGGGGGAGGTGCTGCCCCCCTGAAAGCTGCCACCCTAGGCAGGTGCCTTGTTTGCCTTGTGGCAAATACGCCCCTGCATGTACTCCTCAACCGCAGTTGATTGGATGGCAATGGGCGTGTGTGACGGTTTCCTTCTGGGTTCAGTCTGAACCCAAGTCTTGACCTAACCTGAGCTCTTCCTTTACCAGAACACCAAGACAGATGAAAAACAACCCAGGAAGTATAAATGCCCCCATTATCACTTTCATCAAAATTTCCAGTTATTGGATGAAGTGTAGTTGCAGATCAGACTCCTAAAGATGAATTCAATTTTTGCACTGAGTTTCACAGCTGGTATCTAAGAATATCTACAACAGTCTCTATGTAGAAGCATTATTAGATGGGATAGCAAGAAGAATTGCATGGGCCACTTTAATTGTGCTCTGAGGGTTTCTTCTGTGCATCACAATTAATGTTATTTTTTTCTTACTAGACTTACTCTTTGATCATTCCTAATTTAACAGTTGATTCAGCTCCCATATTATTTAGCTGTCAGAGAATGAATAAACACGGCTCAAGATAATTATTCACAGACGTGGAGGTGTGATTTTCATTTTTAAGCAAATTCCCATCAACTGACAGCTCCATGTTCAACATGAGTGCAGAATACAAAGCTTCAGCTCTGTGCACCATCTATAGGGCTACGTGTACAATGCTATCACTCCTTCTCAAACCAACATAATCCCTTCTGCTAGTTTTCCTGTCGGTTTCTAGGTAGCTGTGATTTACTTTCATTAGTAAAATATGGGTACAGAATAATGTACAGATTATCTGAATTACATTACATTTCTCAAATTTGTTGCATTTCTTCCTCTAGTACACCAAAGTAAGCTATTCAGTCTAATTGGATCAGAAACAGCAAACATTTTTATGCCAAAACCATGAATTGATTGTATTTCTTAAAAAATATTTTTTTGCGAATATTGTTTCTTTTTATGATGTGGATGAATACATTGTCAGGTAAATTTAAAATATTGTTTATGGATATTATGTATTCTTAGAAGCAGCCAAAAGGTGGTGCTCCTAACCCCTTTTACATGTGTTCCAGTACTTCCTTATCTCCTTTGGGTAATGGTGAATTTCTAAATCTATGGTTTTCATTAATGAAAACGTACAAATTTGTTTTTTTTTAATCATATAAACAGCTCAGCTTTAAGAAAACGTATAGTGTTTTGTATATACAGTATATTCTTAGTTTTTTTTTTTGTTCAGGACTAATTGTTACTAATTATTTACATTTCTTTTTATTTGGATGGTCTTTTTTACTATTGCTTATAAATGTGTCGTAGTTACAAAGGCAGAAGGTAGTGCAAAATGTGTTTAATAACTGTAGTAGATAGCGGCACAAAGGACAGTACAAACAGAACAAAAATTTCAGACATACCCACCCTCTTTTAAGTTTAAAGGTCCTGAAACAATGACCTCTTTGTACTATCCTTTGTACCAAAATCTACATTTAGTAAAAATGTCTTTGCAGTGAACTTGGTATGTGGCTTCTAGACCTTATATAGTTAGTGGCAGTGAGGAAACAGATGTTGAGTGACATTCACATATTCAGCTTACCCATTTCATGGGTTTACCTGCTTATTCTTAGCTGCTCTGTTGAAAAAAGCACAAGGTTTACAAGAGGAGGGCCTGGGTCTGATGTATGGGTTTGATGGCTGCGACTTACATTACTAGACATTACTAGGTGTTACTAGAATATTTCAAAGTTTGAAGTTTTATCTGCCAAATATTCTGATATTTTTAAATCTAGAGTACCGCCATAGAAAGCACATTGTGTCAGAAAGCTGTAATGATTTTCTCGAGTGTGAATGCTTAAGTGAAACACACTGTAACCAAATGTTACTTTTTCCGATCAATGGTAGTTTAGTCTATTGCAGGACAATTAGTCAATAATGCTCATTTTGTTTCCATGCTTGCTTGCTTTTATGGGAACAAGTGAAAAAAGTATCTGATACTTAGACGTCACTATGATATAGTAGGTACATTTGGTTAAGCTTTTATGGAGATACAGACTGTGAACTGGGTCTGTGGCAATAAAAAATATAATCACAAAATAATACAAATCACAATCCAAATAGTATAAGTATTTTATAGCAAGACTGCACATTTCTGAACAATCCAATACTGCAATGCAGAGAATGAAATAATTTTCAGAGCACATTCCACTCAGCCTCAAAGATTTAAAGCTGGAATTCAGGCAAAAAAATGAGGTCTAAATACAAGAGACGTGTAATCTTACTTTAATCTTGGTGTCAACTTGTGAGCTTTGCCCTTGTGCAGGAACTTCCTGGTTTCCTGGTGATGGAACCTTCTCATGGTTCCTTTAAAGTCCAACTGCTTCCTCCTCCGTTTTTTATTATATATTTATTGTACATTCACATTAGTCTTCAGAACAAGTGTGTTTTTCCTTTGTCTCTCAGAACAACTGCTTCCTCCCCAAAGTCTAGAACAACTCTCTTTGTCTCTCACCACATATTAATAGGGGAGGCTTAGCTTCAAACACAACACATGTAACTTAAAAATCACATATCTACGGTATAAACAATCAGCACATATCCAGAGCAACACAAGGGGTTATATACATTCTAAAGGGATGCAGACCCTGCAGTTTTTCTCATAACACTGAAAGTGCACCAGCTGATTATAATAAACCAGTCCCTCACATTCAGAATAAGTCTGCAATGAGTCTGTTTAAACAAACACCTATTTCTTCACAGCAACAGAAGGTAGGAATCTGCTGCAAAATGTGTTAAAATTTGTTAAACGTTATACCTTAAAGTCATTGACCCAAAACAAGTATGTAGATAAGGACATTTCTGATGTATGTCAGTGACTCGGAAAATACAGATGGTTGAAGGTCAGCATAACAGTCAGGACACATTATAAAACAAAGAGAGCACATTGGCCACAATACATTTTTGTTAGTAAACTCACATCAAATACTCACATACTGTAGGTACTTGAAGGAACAATATGTAAAATACAGTATCTATCCTAATAAGGCTCATCTCAGGTCTCCAAAATTTCAATATTGTAAAACAGCTTATGTATTTCAAAGTCCAAGACCGTTTCCTCAGCTCTTGCCCTTTGGGGACAAGAGCTGAGGAAAAGGGCTTGGCCTTTGAAATGCATAAGCTGTGTGTTAGCTATTTTACAATATTGTGATAGTGACAGGAGGTTGTTGATCAGATCCTACAGGTGATCATCTATATTTTGGAGATCAGAGATGTTCCTTACAGGACTGATGCTGTATTTTACATGCTGTTCCTTCAAGTACCTTTTTGGTGCTGTTATAGCTGGGCATTGCACCCAAGACTAGACGAGACTAGCTTAGATGCCAAACAAGAACTACGTTTTTGAATGGAAAACACAAGTTTTTATATACTCCAGAAATATGGGCAGTGCCCACAAATATTACACATTGGGACAAACATCACACACTGATTAGGTAAGAGCTTGATCACATTATCCTAAACAATGCAAATGGTAAACAGTGCAGCCAATATCTAATAGTAATCTAATTAACATTAAGCTAATCAATAGCCAAGCATCCAAACAATGCTATGATTAATCAGGGAGCCCACAGCAGACAGACTAGCAACAAACCCACCCCTGAATACACAAAGTAAATTACACATGCTGTCTTTCAGGTGTTTGCTTTCACTTGTATGATCTGTCCATCATAAGACAAAACTCATACAATATTCCAACAGTCTGAAAAGTGGAATTAATTTATCTTAATAGATTTCTTGAGGGAGATTGTTGATAAATATTTCTGTCCCAAATAGAGGGGCTTCTCCTACCCAATCCACATCAGGGCCACCTTATTACATCTTCTATCT